AACTTTGTTATTATGTTTATGATGAAAAGAAACTAAATTTATTTATTTATTATTGTCCTACATTTTAATTTCTCCTGGTGATACAAATCACAATACACAATAATGCCACATTGGTTAACCTATACTGTATATTTAATACTGTGTGTCCGTACAACATGTACAATGTACTTATTTTTATGGAGTTCAATAATGCCTTAGTGGTCTTATTCATGACATAGTTGGCAGATATATCAAAAGTGGACCTTATACCATGAAAATAACACCTGCTTTTGATGTAACAATATGAATTCTTGTAATTTTGGGGTCCCAAGACTAAGTAAATATAAATGGATAACTTTTGATCTACAACTTACAGTGGAAAATCAGAAATGCTTGCCTAGTATGAAGCACAGGTATTTGTTGACATGAACCCCCCTCCAAAGTTCAACCCCTAATGAAAGCTCATTTGACTTTTTTTCACAAATTATTTTAATTACACTTATTTATCATGTATACCATAGGAAAAACTGAAGAAAACCCCAAAAATTGTTCCATACCAAAAGTGCCCCACAATACAAAATAAGAGAGAACATTTCTCTCTCATAATGTATAAATAGGGTATTTTTTGTGTGGACGATTATTTTGGAGCATTTCCTCATTTTTCCTATGTTTACATGATAAATAAGTGTAATAAATATCATATGTAAAGAAATATCCAAGCCCGGGGTTGAATATTCGGGGAAGGGGGAGGGGGGTCCTGGGCACAAGTACCTATGGTATGGAGTGATTTAGTGCTACTGAACATAAGTGCCATTTCTACATACTCACCAACAGGTCCATTATCACCTGTACTGACAGATGAAGCCTGACAGGATGTACATTCATGTGATTGAAACTCATCACAATTCACGTACAGGTGTATACAGTCACAGCACTGGTACAGCATCTTAGGTGTACAGGTGTGAGTCACATATTCCAGGTAAGAGCTGAAGGTGTTGGTACATCGTGTACAGTGATGAGAGTTCATAGTCACACAGGTACACACACTGATTGACTGCTGGACTGTCAAAAGTACAGGTGAAATATCATTAATTTTAGGATATTGCAGTTATTGATGTGAGAAAAAATATAATTTTAATTTGTAAAGTGTAAGTAAAGTTTGTTTCTTACCAATTTATATACATAATTTCAATAAAATACAGTTTATATGTAATAGGTAAGGGTACAGTAGGCACTAGGCAGCATATAAAACTGTAAAAATGACTTTCTTTACTTGTGTAACAGTAGAGGAGAAGAATGCCATTAACCAGACTGTGATTCGAACCAGGGCCCCATAAATCAGGTTTTCTACTAATCCGAGATTCCTCTGACTCTAACTGCACATGTCACAATATAAAAGCAGGAGATAGAGTCATAGAGTCAAAGGAATCTCGGATTAGTTTTCAACCTATTGAGCTATCTGGCCACCAGTGATTGAACCCGTCTGACCGCCACACTTATATTTTTTTAAACTGAATCAAAATCCTTACATATTATTCTGTGTTAATTTGTTTATGTGTTTGTTTGTTTGTTTTTTTTTAAAGCATTTAATAACCTCTATAGTTTTAAACTTTTTATCTTTAAACTACATACCCTGGTCCCAGTTTTCATCAATTTTCCATGTTCGTTTCCTTTCCCTACTCGGTTCCATTGCTTACAGGTAAGATGCTCTCTGTCTCTCTTGTCACTTGCTTTTACCTGTTGTGCACCTGAGTTGAAGGCGTAAAGACAGCTGGATACATGTAGTTCCTCAGGTCTGGCACAATCTCTTGATATAACTATATAGCTTGATTTAGCTATATAGCTTTATTAAGCTATTCAGAATAGCTTGATTTAGCTATTTTATCACACTTTTTTCCTAAACATGTTATTTTGTCAGCATGCACAAAAAGTCGCACCTTGGTGCAGTGATAATATTCAACCTTGAGCTCTTCTGAAAATAATGCATGTAAAAATCACTCATCAAATTCCGTCTCCTTAAAAGACTTCGTACTCAAAGTTCTAAAAGTTTTGGGGCTATATAAAGCAATTGATACAGTTACTTCTTCATTGAAATTATAAAAGAGGTCAATTATGGTCAACATGGTCAACAAGATAATTGATTGGTAATAATTCAGTACAATGAGAAGCAATCATACTTATCCATGCCTTAACGCACACAAGGTAGTGTACAGTTTCTCAAACAATGGAAATTCATCTTTTGCTTAAAAGTATTCAAATACTGCAATGTTAGAAATATCTTTGATTTCGGTTGTTGTTTTGATACGATAGCCCATAGTACGTACATATATGAATAGTCAAATACTTGCGACTTTTTGTCTATTTCTTACAAAAAACATTTTTCTGAAAAAATGCACAAAAATAGCTTTATCAAGCTATTTTGAATAGCTTAATAAAGCTATATAGCTTTTTCAACCTATATAGCTAAATCAAGAGATTGTGCTGGACCTGTTCCTATACATGTGCAATAATTTTAAAAAATATATAAAGTAATTTATGGTCTAATCATGAATATTAAAACACATTTGCATATATCACTTGGCAAAGACCGCTATTGGAAATGCATTGAACGTGAACGCTGCGGCCTAATTTTCACAAGGTCGCAAAAGTAGGTCAGCAAGCTACTAAGTCATCTAATCGCATTGTGAACTCAATACTCAAAAGTTTAGTGTTTTCAATAAATTTCTGGGTTTTCAAAGAAACATACCTGTTTATTTTATTTCCATAAAGTCAGGACCTACACCTGGAATACGCCAAAATCTTATAAATTTTGTTGCCTTTGTGGAGCTTTCCAACTTTAGTAAACATTGATTTTCCTACCTTCGTTTACAGAAGAGCTCCTTCTGAGAGGAGGATCCAAAGGGTCACTGTAAGAGCTGTTTGCGGCCAGCGCAAAATAAATAAGTGTTGAGGAAGCTCTAAACACTAAAGAAAAATTGTTTTTGAGACTTTGAGAAACTTATATCATATAAAGGTAAGTTTCATTTAATAAAATGTTAAAACCACATCATATGTAATGATTTCACCACTGCATATAATGATGTAAAAACTGCATATGATGATTTCACCACTGCATATACATGTAAGCATGCGACCACTGCATATAATGACTTGACCACTGCATGTAACTAACTAATGATTTAACCACATCATGTAATGAAGTAGAAGACGAGTGCCACTTTTTATTACATTGTACTAAATATCCGAATTTCAGAACAGATTTATTTATTAGCATTCAATGCAATCCCACTTTGTCAATGTCAGATCTAGAAAGTGTAATTTTCCTTTTAGCAAATTTTCCTAGGCAGACCTCAAAATATTTATATCTATCATACATGCACAGGCAATCTTTGTTGTACAAAAAACGCTATGCGTAATATTTGTGTATATATATACATTTCATTTATTTTTGTTAAAAGTTTGTTTGTTACTTACTTACTTACTTGTAACAAGTTAAATTGATGCAAAGCATCAAATCGGCTGCAAAAATATATTTAGCATTTTGAAGTATTTCCACAAGGAAGAGTCCAAAGAAAAAAAAAATTCCAAGTAGAAAAAGTAAAATATGATACATTTTAAAATTTGCTTTACTTTTCCGTGTAATTTTAATATTTTAATTTTCCAGTTTGTTAAATATTAATCAAAATAAATAAATTCATGGATATAAAAATAGGACTGAGATCAAGTATAGGAATGTTTTATCATTAAATTATTTGATTTAAAAATATCTAAATGCTGACAAAAATGACGTTCAAACTTCACGTGCTACCTTTGATCTTTGTCACGTGATAATGCTGATCAGTGTTGTGATACTCATAGATATGTATAGTGCAAAACAAAACAGTTCATTGTATTTTTTGCAACTGTAGTGTATTCAAAACAAAATTCCACGACCAGGAACACGTTAAGTTCCTAGACAGTACCGATGTCAGAAACCTTTAAAGTTAAGCACAGTAAAACTGGTTCGTTGTCATGAAAATACAGGTGAGGTTATGTTAAATTCCGTCCGGTGTCATGCAAAAGATAGAAGAATGAATACATAATGCATAAAATTTAACGTTTTTGACAAATTCTAAGATTAAATTTGAATTTTGGGAAACAGATACAACATTCAGTATTCCACACTGTAAAAATGATGTATAGATTTTGAACACAATATATACATGTTTAGGTTTAACATGTTCAAGAAAATGTTTACATGCTAAACGCGAAGGGAACAAAACGCGTTTAAACTTCACATGTTTAGGATCTAAACATGTTGATATAGATAAGAGTTTGGAGTTACCAAGTAACTAACGTTTCTGTGCTAAACATGTTTAAGATGTAAACACAATCACAGGATGATGCAATTCGCGCCACTTTCTGAGGACAAAGGAATTGGTCAGTAATCAAGCGACCACATGCAGCCATGTTGGAAACATGATTGAGGGATCTTATCTTGGTAATGTTTATTTTCTTGTTTTTAAATGTTATGCCTGTTTTATGTACAAAAATATTTAATATATTAAGGTGAAAACTTTATTTGTTTCAAGATAATTAAGCATTTTTATATATAAAAAAAGGACATATTACAATATATAGATTTTGATTATATGGAGATTATGTGAGAAAGGATATTGTAATCAGACTCTCCAAGAGCGTCATTCCCTCATCCTGTTCATATATATATATTGTCTGAATTCAAGAAAAAAAATGTACAGTATATCAAATCAGAGCCGTGTTACTCCCATTATGCAGTCAAATGATAAATAAATATCAGCGGCTTGGTCGACGAGAAGAATGATGACATGCTCTTGCTTAAAACCCCTTTTTGTATTCCTATTGCTACGTAAAATTATTTGTGAAAGTTGACATGAATAACATGTTCAATGATTAATGAGTAAAGATACTATAATTTTTAAAATCATAAAAACGTTATTTAATGAAAATCGGGATCGGTATGCATCTCACAGGTCGGGTTTGGACGGCACATTATTTTATTCGTGTAAACATGCTCCTCGATGGCAAAATGTTACCTCTTACCAATCTCCTGTCCATTTTCATCATCGTACGTGTAATCAGTTACTTTTATTTATAGTTAAAAGTGAGAGTTGAGGGAATCATATGAAAATTAGTATATATTTTTTTTTCCAGTTTATTCAGATTATGGACCAATATGCTGCATCAATAAAAGAAGATATAGAACTGTTTCTTTTAAATCATGTGCCATCGAAGACATTAATCCGTGCCAATAACACCGAGGTACTGGGTTCCTTGAAGATAGAGGCAGAGGACCTATCAGAGGAAGAGACAGACAGGTTAATTTATTACTTAGTGGGAACATTCCCACAATTGAGAGATTTGGGGGCGTACGACATCTCGGAATTGGTCCATGACACTGTTAAATTTGTGATAAAAAGAAGCAAAGAAAGAGGTATGTGTATTTCTTTCTTTGCAGTTCTCTGCCTTTAAATACTGAAATCTATTATATATGTACAAAGATTTCTTGACATAGTTATTAATATATAATTATTATATTGTCTATCAGTCAATAGTGACTTGAATCTTCACCATTTGCATTTTGAACATACAGTACATGTAGTTCTACCAATTAAAAATAGGCAAAATATAGAATATGGGTACAGAATGTTCAGGTCAAGTTGTATATTTTATGGAGGGGTTGCTTTCAGTTTTATAGTCACCCTTCATAACATCAGGATTCATTTGTAAATATAGTGCTGGTGTGCCAACATGTTGATTCAAATTTCATCAATTCTTGCCAAATGAGAAATGTGTATAATGTTGATAAAGTCGCATGGTGTACATACATTGAAAGGACCAGTATTTGAACATTCATTTAAAAGCTGTGATGTGGCTTCAGTAAATGGAATACAAATACTGTAAAAAGGCCAAATACAAATTATCATAATTTTTGTAAATTGTTTATATTTTTTTAAATGAAGTCATTAATTTTCTTTTTTCATTAACTTAGGAAATATGTCTATTGATGAGAAATCTTCACTGGATGATGTTTATAATTGGCTGATTGGGAATGGTATCAGCATTGAGACAAGTTCCATATTCAAAGGTATATATTTAATTCAGTTTTATAGTGCACATTTAAAGTTTTTGTTCTATATTATCAAATTCATTCTATTTTCCCTGCCAATGCAAGTTATTAATCAAGTTTAACTAGTCAACAAATTAACAAAACATCTCTTTTCTTAAAAATTACTTAATCCTATAGTTAGTAGATTGTGTTGTTTTCATGTCCCCAGATGACATATACAATTTTGTATTTCTTTTTTCTTTAGGTTCATTTTGATGAATGCATGTGCATGCCAATTAGGGAAATATGAGCTTGCAAAATTACTGTAGCATGTGCCCTTTTTTCTGCCACAGCAAAGATAGGTTATATGGACATTTATTAAGAAGGCATAAGTTTGAACCAAACTTTATAGTACATTGCAGCAGGGCAGGATGTGGGGCCTCTTTTAAAACTGTGGCAGGATTGAGGACCCATCATTACAGAAAGCATGCCAATGATCCTGAGGCTGAAAATTCTGACAATGATATACTAGATATTAATGATGATCAGGATGATATAGAAACAGAGACTGAAGACTTTATGAAAAAATGGGAAGCACAATTTATCTTGATGCTAGTGGCTCAGCACAATTTATCTCAAAAAGCCATTGATGACATTTTAGTATCAATGAAACAAATGAATAGCTTTCGAAATAGCTTAATGAAAGAACATATACGGTCACAAATGCCGGAAGATTTGTTCGCCAGAATTGACCTGGATGAAATATTTTCAGACGATATGTTTGAGGGATTAGAGTCAAAATATTTGCGAGAAAAATATTTTGAAAGATACCTTGGTTATGTTAAACCAGTTGTTGTAAAATTAGGAGAGAAACGTGTAAATGTGAAATTGCAAAACAAATACCGGTTCATAGAAAAAGATGTCTTGGGATACTATGTTCCATTTTTCTGTCAACTCCATGAGATTTTAAAGATGCCAGAAGTACAGCAAGAACTTCATGCTCCCAAGAGGTCTGATTTTCAATTTTCTGACATTAGAGATGGTGCACATTTTCAGAACCCTTTTCTAAGAGATCATCCTGATGCATTGTTATTTTGCCTTTACCATGATGACTTTGAAATTGTGAATCCAATTGGTTCACATCGCAAAAAACATAAACTTTCTGTATTTTATTGGACTCTACTGAATATTGGGCCGGAAAATCGTTTCAAATTACAGGCAACACAACTACTGGCGATTGGAAAATCTACAGACCTGAGAAAGTATGGTCTATCAAATCTTCTTCAAGATTTTGTGGATTCATTGAACATTTTGCATGAAGGAAAACATTTCCTTATTGGAGAAGAAAGAAAAAAATATTATGGAATGCTTTACTGTGCTTTAGGAGACACTCCAGCTGCACAGCTTATGGGAGGGTTTAAAGAAGGTGTTGGAATGGCAGAAAAACCGTGTCGAACCTGCGAAGTAAGATATGACAATTTAGCATCAAGTTTTTCAGAGGATGACTTTATTAAAAGGGATGAAGCAGAGCATAAAGATAGGTGTGATGTATTGGACCAAATTAAGGGAGAAACCAAGAAATATTGGTCTAAGCAATATGGCATCACTGGAAGAAGTATACTACTGAAGATTCCTGAATTTGAAGTAACCAAGTGCATATTGCATGATCCAATGCATGTTCTTCTAGAGGGAATAGTCAAATTAGAAATTCAGTTAATGCTTGAAACATTTATTGAAAAGACAAAATATTTCTCACTATCTTATCTCAATACTGTAATAAGAACTTTCAATTATACAACAGAAGAATCAACAGATAAACCACAGGAGATAGAAATGAAATCTTTGAGAAGACCAAACACCTTTCCAATGACTGCTATAGAGACAAAAACTTTTATGGAACTCTTACCTTTTATGATTGGAGAAAAAATTCAGCCTGATGATGAACACTGGAAAAATTTTATCAGACTATTAAAGATCACTCTTCTTGTTATTTCCCCTATTGCTTCTGATGAAACAATTGCAACACTAAAGCAACTGATACATGACCACAACTCAAATTTTTCCAAGTTATATCCAGATATTCAGTTTACACCAAAACTCCATTATCTTTGCCATTTTCCGAATCAAATCATTCACTTTGGCCCAGGCAGAAATCATTGGTGTGTTCGAATGGAAGCCAAACACAGTCTCTTTAAAAACAAGAAGTGGAAAAATTTCAAATCACTACCTTTGTCAGTTGCTTCATATCATCAGCAGTGGATGTGTCTACAACAGCTTAGTGTACAAAATGGAAAATCTGAAGTATATCTTTATTCTGGTGATTCAGTAGGCGTTGGGTCATCTATGAAATTTGCTGACTTGTGTGATGGTATGAAAGATGCAATACATAGAAATGAAACTCATATTCCTGATACAGTTCTTCAGACCAGTTGTGTAAAGCTAAAAGGGATAACATACAGAATTGGAAGTGTACTATTGAAGAATTATGATGAAGATGAGTTGGATTTTTGCGTAATCAGTGATATATATGTTTTAAATAACATCAAGTACTTTCAATGCAAACTACTAAATATCATTGAATATTGCCCCATATTTAATGCTTTTGCATGTAGACTAACAGAGGAAACTTTCTGTTTACCTGCACTAAGTATAAAATACAAATGGCCTCAGATTAGTCATACATTAAGGGGACAAATGTATGTAATGTTATTCAATGTAGATTTTTGTTGGTGTTAATCCTAAAATGAAGCCTGAATTCTCACATAGACATTAATAGGAAGTATTGTCTCTATATGAAAATTTTAATTTGCCACTACAGATAATGAAGTGGATGGATTCAGTTTAATAAATATGAAGGAGAGTGACATTTTTTTGATGATACCTGGAAAAGTTGGACCAGCAAGGAAAATTTGCACCCTTATTGAAAAAATTAGAAGAAATGAAGAAAAAAGTGAACAAAATATTGAGGGATATCGCATTATAGAATATAAGGAGGACTCAGCAGGGTGCAAGACCATAGAAATTGAACCTACAACGACACAGTCTGCAAATGATGATCCAACACCTCAGCCAATAGGAGGCTTACAAATCTATGAGGTACCAGTGGCAACATTACCTGAGATTGCAAGTGGTGGCCTAGATCTTGAACATGTTGAAGTAGAAGGCACCTCATTTGAAAGCTCAGCTGAAGTGAGTACTTTATATCCAGTGAAATGTTTCCAAAGAAATAATTTGAAATTATGTTGATTTAATAAATTGAAAGCAAAATTTTAAATTGATACGTTTTTAGTTTATTCTACCAGTACTTTAAAAAGCTGCAAAAAGACAAATGCAATGTTCTTTAATTAATTTAAAAACATTAATATGTGTAATAAATATTTTTTTTCCTTTTAAATTACAGAGCCGTAAACCGTCAAAACCAACATCCACTGAGTCTTTAGAACAGTATATACCATCATACTCTCCCGTTGTTAGATCATTACTGGAAAAGGGTGAAATCTACAAAGAATGGGATAAAATGATCGAAGAGACAGCCTATCATGTTTTAAGTGTTGGTAACTTTGAAACAAAGGGAATATATACCGACTTTGGAAGATTAATGTATTCCAAGTTTCCCTGTATTGGACACTCTGCCACAAAAGATCCTTGGGTAAACCATTTAAAGCAATACTAGTATGAGCTGCATTTTTGAGAATTTTATTTTGCTATTAAAATGTGTCATTATGATAAATTTGGAAGTAATTTAAACCTTTTATGATTAATAAGACTAAAATAAAGTATTAAATTGTTTCAAAAGAAAGATCTCTGTACAATCAAATATTTAGTATTATTTAAGAAAACTATATTGTACAGGATGACAATAATGTAAATTTGCATCATTAAGAGCTTGTAAATAGTTTTTCTATTACAAATATGAACAACAGAAGTTTATAAATGTTCTTTTTCTCTGTCCTTGAAATAGTTAATGGCAATTTTGCAACAGAAAATTTTGACATCAAAGTTGCAGCTCATATTGCTTAAATTTTATATAATAGATGTTTTAAAATCTCAGATAATGGTTTTCTATATTTTCTGTATTTCTAGGGATACTTCAACAAAAAGTTGTCACAAAAAGTAAGACACATAAGGTGGAGATGGAATGCAAGAGGAAAGGCTGTTGAACACACAGCAGAGAAAAAGCCAAAAGTGTGCTTGAAAAAAGTCTCCTCAACAGATGGTAAGCGAAATATTTATCTTTCAAAAGGCAGAGAGGGTTGCATGGGTAGATTGCTTTATTTACAGGTGACACACAGAAATAACATTTATTGCTGAAGATAGCTAAATTGCAAATCAATAATATCTTGTCAATTTTCATTTTATTCTAATGTTCATCAATATCTTTTTAAGAGAGAATGACCCTAGAAGAAGCAGAAAATGTACTGATGGAGGAATTTAAAAAACCAACCAAACTAAGAGACAATGCACTTATTGCTAAGACTCAAAGAGATACATTAAAACAGAGAAGATTGTTTATAGAAAAAAGACATGGGGGATCTGTGGAACATCTCATCAAGAAGTTTCCATTTCTAGGAAAAGCTGCGTTTGTATGTAATTTATATCTGCTGTTAATTTAATGAATTTTCCTTTCTTGTGATTTTTGCAATGTTAATGCAGTGTGCTCTAATTTAACGTATAGTGCAGTAAAGCATATTTTTTAACTGTTGGCTATTTGTCTAGGATCTTGTTTGTATCCCTTGCATTTTTAAGCACTCTATAGATGAAGGTATTTTTCTTAATATACAAAACAGAAATGGTTAGGTATTGCTAAGATTACCCTTCTTTATTTCAGATTGAGAAGGAGTTTTTCCTTATCAAACAAAACCTGAAAAAAGATGCTATTTTGGCTCACTGGGATGAAGTAATGAGAAAAGTGTCCCAAATATTCATGGAGGAAAACTCAGACTCTGTGAGTGTTATACTTACTTTAATTAAGTATTGAAGTATTTTAAAATTTGTTATACCTTAATCCACATAGTAATAGAATTTTTCTTTTATTAGATTCCAGAAGTTACAATAAAGCTTTTGAACAGATTGGAGGAATCAATCAAGTACAAGCATGGTACCAAACAGCTTCCCTTGATTACATCGTGCAAGGTATGAAATAAAGCCAGTATCAGTAGTAAGAAAATAAATTTTAGATGAAAAAACTTATCATTTTTCCATGTTAAACTCTTAAATGTACAATGTATAGTTTTTATGTCCCTTTTTTAGGCAAGTGAGTGGAAAGGTTCAAAAACAAAGCATGACGACCCACCAAGATTAGTTGCAGTTCTCAACCAAAGGAACGAGATTCAAAATATGTATATTGTGGGAGCAGGCCAGGAGGTTGACACAAATGTGGGAATACTCAGGGATGGACTATTACGATTGATTTACTCCTACTATGCATGGGATTTGTCATATCCAAAACATTTTCAACTTCTGGGCTTTTTGCAACATTACATATTAGAAGACAGGGAGAATAAATTTTTTGTTTCCCAAAACTACATGAAATTCTGCAAGCGTCTTGACGCTACACAGTGAATCATGCTACTGTAGAATCTCATTATTTCTAGTTCAAATTTCTACATTTTGTACTATTTGTTGACAAAACCTGACTTTGTTGTAAGCAAGAAAACACCATTGGTTTGTTGTTATAAATTGGTTTCAATCTACATTTCAATGGATTTGTTTCATTTGAATGAAATATTAGTAAACATAGGTGTGTTTAATTATGTTTGCTTTAGACATACTTTGTAGTCAATTATGAATATGTTTTTGTCATTTCTTTTTGCATGTTCTACAAAAATGTTAACTGGTGTGAAACATTCCTGTTTACTAGTATATCAGATCTAAAAAGATACCAAGATATAACCTTTTGAGGATAAGGTTCAATGTTATGTTACTTATGTCAAATGTATTGACTCCTATTAATTGTACTTCATGACATTGATACTTTTTTTTTTCTTTTTGGTACTTTTTAATGCAACTAATTGTAATTATTGTATTCACGTTATGGTAGATTGCCTCTATAAAAAGGTAATTATATACTGTTCTTCAATTGTTCTGTTTAATGAGATCAATACATGTAGTTTTTATGTATATTTTGTGAATATTAGGTTCATTACACTTGACTTAAACATGTCTTTGGTTGAGAAAGGATAATCTTAGAAATTTTAGAAGTCAAGAACTCGATATGTTGTCAAAAAGTGAAAGTTTGAAAATAATTTTTCGTTTCAATTTTTGAATTGTTTAGAATTTGGATTCCTCATTTAAGTATAATTTCTTTTCAAAGACATAATATACATATTCAAGTACTTCTTTAGTATTAGAATAACATATGTTTTTGAGTGATGCATGGATTTGATATCAATAGATTAGTTTGATTAATAAATTAGATTAATGAAGTATATTCTTATTGATTTTTTTTGTAACTGTAATGCTTCTGGGATGACATGTATATACAGTAATGAACAAGGACGACATTTACATGAATTTTCAGGATTTTTGGACAAATAATGAATGCAACAGTATATATTCTCATGCAGAGCAAGGATACCTCTTTTGTGTTTAGAATCTAAACATGTTTAAAACTAGAACATGAAGAAAGGGTTTAGGTGTTTAATTCCTAAACACATGGACTTCTAACACGTTTAGACTCTAAGCACTTTAAATAACATGTTGAAGTGGGAAACATGTTTAGATTTAGAACATGTGAAAAACTGTGTTTCACAAATGTGTTAAGAAAAGTGTTCAACATCTAAACACGATTTTTACAGTGCATATAAAGATTCATGTATTTGATATCCTTAATACATTTTGAGGAGTTTTGGTTGGCGATCACATGCCCATGTGTGAAGGCATGATCGTGAGCTGGAAAATTATATATTTCTTATATTTAATTCATCGAAATGGTTCTTTCATTTTAAAATATGAAGAGAAACTTCATTTTAAATGTATTAGGCAACTGACAGCCTTTTGTAGCTAACATGTTTTAAGAAATCGCAATTTATAAGCAAAAAGTCCGTTGTCAGTACATGTTAAGTTTGTCTGGTCCGGTGTCATTTTTCTTAACAAGTGAGTAAATCAATAAAATGCAACAGAAATGATCAAATATATGCTTAATTTAAAAGAATACAAAGCATATTACAGATAATTTTGAACCTACACTGTAAAAAAATGTGTTTACAATTCAAACACTTTTCTAAACACTTTGTTGTCACCTCCTTTTTTATATGTTTAATTCCTAAACATGTAAAATTTCTAAACATGTCTTAGAAAGTGTTTAGAATTTAAACACTTGTTTGCTTAGAAATTAAACATATCTAAACACATAAACACAAGTGTTTAAATTCTAAACACATAACAGCAGAAGTGTTTAAAATCTAAACACATCATAAGTATAATTTGTACCTGCAGAAAAACAAAACACTCTCGTCAATTTAGGCACAAAAAGTATATGTTTTATCAATGCGCATTATTGTCAAAATTTTCAAATATGTAACCGATATTAGTTATTTTTCATAAAGCCACTGAACGTTGGGATATGTATTTAATTATACAATATAATGGACAATGTGCGATGTACATGTACTTAATTTACACAAATAATGTAGGAGATAGAACTGAATATATTTGATTAGTCTCAACAATTCAATCAGAATGACACATAATTTATAACGTACACATAGATAACAAACTCTTAATCTTCAAAATTATTAAGAAAATAATATTAAGCTGACAATTAATATCAAAACTTCATTGAATATTTCCAAAAGGCTTTATTAAAGAATTTTTAAATTAAACGTACAAAATGTATATTTAAATATATATTTATTATAATTTGAATGGGCTGCAGAGTTTTCCTCATGTCAATCAGAAAAATATCAAATTTTTTTACTTTCAGCAAGTCCCAAAGCACCACATATTATAATCTATATCCCATCAATAACTGCCAGAAAGTAATCCATTTCAAATGCACGAGGATAATTGTAAACACTGTCGAATTAACTCAGTAGTCTTCACAAAATGAAGTTTCAAAGTGTTGATTATGGAACAATAAAATTGCACTTGAAGATGACACCAGGTACTCAGATACGTGTATTTTGAGTTCGATCTGGACTACAGTATACCTGTAGGAAAGAAAGCAAGATTGTAGTAACAGCTAGTACTCTATCACTGATATTTTGGATTACTTAGAAAAACAAAATTGTTCATGTTTTAGTGAAACTATGTTTTTAATGACATTTAATATTATTTCCTCTCCTGCAAGTCTATGAACGAATTCAAAGATATCCCAAGTCAACTTTATTTACGTTGCTCATCGTGGTTAATTAATGCAAAGAAAAAGAAAACAAACCTTTAATGTATTGCAGTAATAAGATGCCCTTTCACGTATTTCAATATTTCGTCATGGTTATCGTTATCCCTTGAATTGGGTTGTCCTTACTCTCATTGATACACCACCTTAGCTTGTTGTGTTTTCTTTGTTTAGATAGCCGCTCAAATTAACTTCAAATATATGTGTGTCGTTTCCGGGAAGATAACTCTGCACCTTTACAGTAAAACGTGTTTAATTTCTAAACGCGTTTAGATATAAAACATGTTAAGACATAAGCGTTTTGTTGTTAAACACAATACTATACACGTTTAGATCTAAACATGTAAAAGAAGTGTTTATTTCCTAAACACAATTTTTACAGTGTAGGGGTCGTCTTAAAGCAGCTCACACGAACGTGCTAATTATTCTGCGATGATTTTATTTTCAATTCATTTTCTCTTAGGAACCTGCATCCTAGCTAGTATGCGCCGGTGCTAGATCCGCCTTTGGTTATTTAGCAGATTCCTCCGTAAAACCTTTATGACCTATTGCGGCCCCACCCTACCCATGGGAGTCATGATTTGAACAAAATTGAATGTTTTTGTTTATTTGTTGTTTTAATATCCCTCTAGAGAATTTTTCACTAATAATGAGACATCACCATTTGCCGGTGGAGGGCCAAAAATTTAGACCTATTCTCGGAACTCAGGGCCATTGAGAAGTGTAGGATCTTTTTCGTGCCAGAATCTACAAAATTAAAAGTACATTATGTACTTTCACATAAGTATCATTTCTTCTGATCCAGAAATTCTTGAGAAGAAAATTTTGAAAGAGTTATTCTTAAATATTCTATTTAAACTTTGATTACCTATTGTAGCCCCACCCTTCCCCAGACATGATCTGAATAAAAATGAATCTACTCTTTATAATAAAGCTTTCACATAAGTTTCAACTTTTCTGACACAATGATACTTGAGAAGATTATTTAAAGATTTCTCTGTGTATGTGTGTCAATATCTCTCTCTCTTCACGACCTTAGTAAATATTCAACACAATATATCGGCGACAAAATGTGCATATGTTCACAGTATGTATTGTCGCCGACGACAAAACGTGCCCATGCTTGACAATACATTTTGTCTCCCATTACGCAGGAGGAAAAAAAAAGGCTCGTCGCGGTACAAATTGTCGCCGGCGACAATATGTACCGATGGACGACGATATGTGCATTCAAGGTAGGAACATTTTGTCGCCGACGACAATATGTACAAAACGACAATATGTACCGTCACACCCCTCTTTTTGATGGCATGCTTAACAATACCTAGAACAACATAAGATCGTCCTTCGTAGTGTATAAAGACAGCAGGCAGCGACAACGGACCGATGACAACGGACTGAATTTTCGTATCTTGTCATGACAACGGACAAAAAAATGAAATATAAAACAAAATTTTCAGTTTTAATTTGTTCTCAATTTTTCTGTAAAGGCTTACAACATGTCTTGATACTGTCTGCACCAATTGGTGCGTATGTTATATTCTATTTACGAAAAATTTAGCATCTCAGTAGGAAAATGAATCAAATCCATAAGTGATTTCAACAGGGTTAATGTCGCCAACGCAAACTCTTCTTTTATTACTTCTTTTTAACGGCTGAAATTCATACAACACCAAATAGGGTGTCAGCCCTGTTTCCCATTGCAATTTCAGACATTGTTATAGATAATTTAACTTGAAAAATGAAAAACTTCTCACAGCTTGTCTTCTCAAGTCATGACACTGGACGGATTTTATCATAACCTCACCTGTATGTTCATGACAACGAACCAGTTTAGTGCTTAACTTTAAAAGTTTCTGACAACGGTACTGCCTAGGAACTTAACGTGTTCCTGGCCGTGAATTCAGTTCTTTTTAAACTTTTTACAATTTATTAATTATTTTAAGCACTATAATACATATACGTTTGCTTTTATATCTTACACACGCCACTGTTGGGGAGTAGTTCATGTAACAACTTTTTATAAATCATAAATGAATAAATATCTGATAAGAAATGAAAAACAAATTAAAACGTAATACCAATCATTCATATTTAGTATAAAGCAAATTTTTAAAACTTTGACTCCTAACTTTTGTGTATGCTATCAATAGTTAAGGAATTATTCCAACGAAGCAATTCAAAAATAACGTCTCATTTCCCCATGTTCACATTCTAACACAACCACAAATAGATCGGCCGCTGCTGCGGCCGATAATGATTCTACAACCGCATATGATGATTTAACCACTGCATATAATGATTTATTATACTTCTGTTAAAATGTTTCCTATATAAAGTTAAGAAGATAAAATACATGTAACTGTCTTTTATAGTCTGAAAATTTCCACGTAGAGCAATATACCCGGGTATAGTTTGTGCTTAGCCTGGTTCCCTGTCCCTATTTAATTTGCTTTGTGTAGTGTGCTCCACGGGCCAGGTGGACTACAATGGATTCAGGGCGAATCTGCCCTGAATCTGAGCACATTGTGACGTCATATTTAGCTGCACTTCCGGTGTAGAAGTTCATTGTGACGTTGCATTTTTCTACGATGCAATGTATCATTGTGACGTCAATATTTATTTCCGTGGTTTACGGAAACGGCTCAAAAATCCACGGTTTAGCACGCATTGTTCTGACTATTCAAGGGGCAGCATCGATTGTTACCCCACCTCTGATGATTTTCGATGAAATCCTTGCTTCCGATTTGTTGAAGTCTGTTACGTGAATGGGGTGTATTACTTATACCTAGTCGCTTGAAAATCAATACATGATTGATGCGGAGTTATCGTTCTTTTGTAACACTTCAAACAACTCGAGTTCACGAGGTTTGCGGGTGTATGTTGATAAGTAAAAAGTTAATCAACGTAAGTAACGAGACGGAACCTTTTTCTCACTTTACTAAAAGTCTTCGAAACTGTCAGTACGTTATGAAACACTCGCAAAACAACATTACGTAACACAACGTGACGTCATAATAGGCATTGAATGAGTAATGAAACATATAGCGGAGAAAAACAATTTTGCAAACCATAGACCATAAACAT